AGCAGCAGGGGCAGCAGCAGTTTAAGCAACTCGTCCTCTCCAGGGCGGATTTTCTCGAAACACTCAAGGACCCAGGTCAGGAACTCATGTCTATCCAGCATTCCATCCTATGGGTCCAAGGAGGTGGGAAGAGTATTAGTTTCCTTGGGGACTATTAGCAATAAGGTAAATCAAAGGAGGAAGAGAAACACAGCTGGGGCAAGCTGGCAGGTGGATTCTGTCCCATACTGGAGGAATGTGAGACCAGGTGCCACCTGGGCGTCACTTCCCATGGCCCTTCTTCCTACCTGAAACATGAACATAGCCAGCTTTTCGTTGTAGTCCCACTGCCGGATTGCCACCTCTACGTCATGGGGCAAGGGCCCTATGGTGGAACCACAGCCCCCGCTGCCTGCGGGCCCTGGCCGATAGTATTCAGCCATCTTTTGCAGCTGCTCCCATAAGTATTTGGTGATGATCTGAGTCCATTCTAGGGGAAAGGTGGGGAAAGGGCTATTTTACACCATCCCTCGGCTTAGAACATCTTCTGTCCCCACCCCATGCCTACACCCCCCATCACCATCCTTCTAAATCCTATTCATCCTCTCAGGCTCTGGTCCAATGCCACCTGCCCATGGCCTTCCCAGATGTCCCCAAATAATTCTGTCCGCTCAAGTCTTTCACCATCTCTTCTGAGAGACACACACACACGCGTACACATACTTTCTCTAATTATGTGATTCGTACATATGCCTTAGCATCCCTACTGGATTATAAGCATCCTAAGGGCGGGAATAAGGGACTAGTCACCTTGACAGCCCCGCACATGCACACAGTAGATACTCAAGACACGCAATGTTTGCCAACGGAGTGAATGCAAGGTATAAGCAGAAGCAAGGAACACAGAGAAGGAAGGAGAATAAGTCCAAGGGTCTCTGTATCGCTCCTTGATGCAATCAGTGCTGGGACCCCTGGTATCAGGAGTTACTCACCCATGAAGGGATCAATGACATGTCTCTTCTTCACCTTGGTCTCACTGATTGCTGCATAGTAGGCACAGGTCATCTTAATGAGCCAGGCGGCCCGCATCACAGGCACTGTGTATTTGGCTAAGTACCCAAACACTTCTTCCTTTTTACTGAAAATGGGGACCTGTACAGACATCACAAATAGTGAGACTTCTACCACTGCCACGAGCTGGCACCCATGTAGCTTCATCCAAGGATAGCAGAGTACTTCATACCCATGTTCCCCACCTTGGCCTGGAGACCAGGAAGCAGCACCTCACCTTTTTGGCGAGTTGCGTGAGTGGCTTGGTGCCAGCCAGGTCAGTGAACCAGGTGTTAATGGCACTCTGGGATCGTGCAGTCACCAGCCAGAAGTTGTCCTTCTGGTTCACTTGGGGCTTCCTGCGACCGGTGTCAGGGAGGGTGTTACAACGTAACTTCTCCGCAATAATGCTGCTGAAGTTGGAACTGATCTGAGGGAAGAGAACTATACACCTCAGGATGGGAAGAAGAGGCAGAGAGGTGGTCGTGCCTCTGAAGGGCTAATACCAGTGTGGCAGCACTGGGTTATGAAGGAAAACTCAAGCCATTCAGGTCATCCCTTTAGGTCTTCCTAACCCAGGGCCTTTGCTCCCTCTCAGTCTTCCAGCCTTTTCCTTCAGCCTGGCAGGGTTGTCTCACCTTGGCAGGATTGAAGTTGACGTTCTTGGCACTGCCATGTTCATCCCCAGAGACAGCAGGCTGGTTATTGAAACCTTGTTTTACATTCAAGGCCGTCAGTTCATCCTGAGGCAGGAAAACGACATTTTAGCTCCCCCCCCCCCATCCCGGGGTGGTGGTGGTGGGAGAGGAGGGCAGAAGAGAAGGGAACAACGCGGAGGGGGGGGGGCAGGTAGGAGGAAGATTCTGAGTAGAACAGATTGTTATTTAAAGCTAGGCCCTTATATTCATTTGGACCCCACCCTCACCCCCACAGTCACTAAGATTTCCAGCCACCCAGAGCTCATTCAACATCACTCTTCCTTGCAAGCTCACAAGCAGCCGCAGCTCACCAAGCTGCCTCAGACAACTTTCTGAGGTGTGTGTGTGCATGTGTGTGGAGAGGGGCGCCTCCAGCGTGGCCCCTACATCATTCCCTATTCACACCCGGGAAGCCCCCTCCCCCCAGGTCCCACTCTCCCACACCAGCCCACTTTATTCTTGCCCCTTTTGGGACTTTGGCTCCTACCAAACCGCCCCCCCCACCAAACCATCAGTGCTTCCTCGTCTGCGGATCGCTTGCCTCAGGCCCCTTGAGAGCCCCGATTTTTTGAACGCACCTCCTTCTGTTTGGGATCTTGAGGGTACACATCAGGAGGGCCCAGCCGCGGCCGCTTCAGGGGCCGGTGTTCGTAGCTCAAGATCCCGAAGGCCGCCATCTTGCCCAGCCCGTAGCGCCAGAGGCGCCAGCCGGGGCCGGCTGACGGGGGAGGGGGAGAGGGAACCGACAAGGGGGGTGGCGGTTGCGAGGACGGCAGCCGAAAGACAACAGGAGGCACGTTAGAAACTCTCGATCGTTGCCGGAAACTACCGAGGGGAACCGAGGGACGCCGGGAACCGTCGGACAATACCGACCGCAGCGGGGGGCGGGGCCGAGCCCGGCGTGGGGCGGAGCTCCGCGGCCGCCGAGCGTTAGGGCCCGCGCGGCTTCTGAAGATCGATTTCGCTTGCCAAGTGTCTGCGAAACGTCCTCGAGCGGTCCGGTGTGGCCAGGGGATGGGTGCAGGGTGCGACACGCAAGGCGGGAGGTAGCCGCGGCGCCGAGCACTAAGCTGAAACTGGGTCCCCAGTGGCTGGCTCGGTTCTGGGGCTGGAATCGGGGCTCAAGGGTTATTTGCCTCGGTTAGGTACTCTGCCTTTTACCCTAAACTGCTTCTTCTTTTCTGAGTTTCTGCATCTGAAAAATGGGTGTACTGTCACCTCCTTCAAAGGGCTATTGTGAAGATTAGAAACGGTCTGCATAAGAAAGCACCCATTAAATCCCTGTAAGGCCAGCCCTAATAAACCCTCAAGGTCTTTACGGTCTGGCGCGAAGGTTCGTAACCTTTTTTCCATTCACAGCCCCTTTAAGATGCTGATAGGCGTTATGGGCCTTCCCGGGGAAAGTTACAGAGGCAAACAAAATGTTACATACTTTCCAGGGAAATTCTTAGAGCCCCTAAAGGTCAACAGCGTATCCCCTAAGTGTCCATGAACTCCCACTTGGAAAGAGGCACCTAAGTGTCAGATGCTTTCCAGACATCACCTCCTTTAACCTGCAAACAGCCCCATAAGTTAGAGATTATAATCGTCTCCATTTTGTGAATGAGGAAGCTGATTTTCAAAGAGTGGAAGTTCACTTGCCCCATGTCATTCAGGTACTGAGAGACAGAGCTGAGGCTAAGATTTTTTTTCTGGACTTAACGGCCAGTACACTTTCTGTGATGCCATTGCTCTTCAGAGAAATTTCTCTAATTTCTCTTTAGAGAAAAGATGGAGTGCTGTAATAAAAGTTAACAGATAATGATAAATTAAAAACTAATCAAATTAGCAAATGGCAAAAATAACACTGACAAAATGCTATTGAATCACAGTGGGAAGACAGATTAATTCTGATTGGGGAGAAGAAAACATATTGGAGAAGGTAACATTTGAGCCAACCCTAAGGAACTGTAACCCACAGAATATTAGGGCGGGTTAGAACATAAGCACAGTGCCTGGCACATATTTAAAACTCAGTAAATGTTTGCCGAATAAACAATTTTTACAAAGTGTCTCCAATCGGCTCTGTGTTTGGGGAGAGATAAATAAGACAAAGAATGGGTTAGATACCAGGGGCCTTTAGAAAGGAAGGCCGGGGGAGGGGGGATCCTGGGTGGCTCAGTAGGTTAAGCGTCTGCCTTCGGCTCAGGTCATGATCCCAGGGTCCTGGGATCGATCCCTGAGTTGGGCTCACTGCTCAGCAGGCAAGTCTTCTCCTTCTCCCTCTGTCCCTTCCTCCTCTCCCCGCCCACACTCTTGCTCTCCCTCTCTCTCAAATAAATAAATAAAATATAAGAAAGAAAGACTGGCCAGTGGATGCCTGGATGGCTCAGTCAGTTAAGCATCTTACTCTTGATTTTGGCTTAGGTCAGGATCTCAGGATCGTGAAAAAATTCTCTCTCTGCTCCCCGTCTCTCAAGGAAAGACAGAAAAAAAGAAAGGCCAGTTAGTGGGTTCGAGGAATAATCATGACTAGAGGGAATGAAAGGCTGATTTAGCACAGTGGTTGTGCTGGTGGAAAGGAGGACACTGCTGAGAGAAACACCACAGACTAGAACTGATTGGATTCTCAGGAATGAGAGAGAGGGAGAAATTGATGAGGACTTTGAGGTTTCAAGTCTGGGTGACCAAAAGGGTGATGACACATTAACTGAGATAGGGAACACAGGAAGAGAAGCAGATTTAGGGGAAGATGAGGAGTGTGAAGCCAGTATGGTTGTTCCTCCATTTCCAGAATCTATTTCTAAGTCAGACCTCCTCACCAGTCTCAACAGGGACCCAGCTCAGGCAGCAGCTAAGGGTGGATATTTGGGTTTGGATTAGGTCAGAAGAAAGACAGCTATATGTGTGCCCACAGGAGTCAAGACTGTACTTTCCACCCGAGACAGTAGGGCTTTCACATAGGTTTCAGGGTGACTGAGCACAGGAAGGGGAGGGAGGTCCAGACCCTCCACTCTATGGGATAAAATGGCTTAGATGAGAGGGTGATTGGTAGGGAGTGGTGATGGTTGTGGTGGCAATGGGGAACAGATCCTTCCCGGGATCCGGGTGGTCTGAGGATTCTCGAGTCCATGACAGTCTCGTGTGCCCAGCGTCTGTTCCCGCCTAACAGCACTTTACAGTGGTGGTGTTACACCTACGGATTAGATTAACACTTAATCTCCCGGAGGATTTGGCCTGTGTCACAGCACACATTTGCCACACCCTCTGTAAAGCCCTGGTTTCTAAGGTTCTTTCCACCGGAAGCTATGACAGAAGGAAATGTGTGGGTGGGGAGGGGTAATGGGTGAGGGGCCCAGGTTCCTGACAGTCTACACCCAGGGAACGAAGAGCAAGCGCCATGTTGAAGCCACCATTGCCACTCAGATTCTTCTTATTCCTGCAGCTGCCTCTGCTGGGGGTGGGGCTGAACCCAACGGTCCCCATGCCCAATGGGAATGAAGACGTCGCAGCTGGTGGGAAACGTGGGACTGGAGGGGGTTGGGGAGAGGGGAGACTGTGGGAAGGGGCCGTACAGAAATGTCCAACCTGCCACAGGAGATTAGAAGGATGCAGGCAGAACTTAAGAGTACTGTGGAGAAGGGAAAGGGGAAGGGTTCTCTGTCTCATGCTGCTGCTTCTTCTGACCATCATTTCTGGTCTTCCCCTCCCCCTCTTCGTCTTCTCTCCAACCTAGGTTTCTTCCCGACTGCTACACCTCCTAGGACCCTCAGCGTTTCCACCCTGCCCCTCCCAGAGGTCCAGTGTTTTGTGTTCAATGTTGAGTACATGAATTGCACTTGGAACAGCAGCTCTGAGCCCCAGCCCAGCAACCTGACTCTGCACTACTGGTATGAGAAGGGAAGAGGGAACAGCACAAGGGAGTCAGAGGGGGGGGTGGGCTGGATGTGAGGGACTTTATGGGGACCAAGAAAGAGGGTAACCATTGTTTGAGCCTCCCCATGATTTTCTCTCGGTAGTAAGTCAGTTCAAAGGAGACAGGCTGGGCTGTGGTATCTGTAGTACCCAAGTTTATGCCACCGTTCCTCTTTCTCCCAACCCTTCTCTAGGTACAAGAACTCCAATGATGATAAAGTCCAGGAGTGTGGCCACTATCTGTTCTCTGGAGGGACCACTGCTGGCTGTTGGCTGCAAAAGGAGGAGATCCATCTCTATGAAACATTTGTGGTCCAGCTCCAGGACCCACAGGAACCCAGGAGACAGTCCATTCGGACACTAAAACTGCAGAATCTGGGTAATTTGGAAAGGGCACCAAGAGTCCAGGGATATATTGTGGGGGCACTGGGGTATATGGAGTAGTGTTCTTTCACCTTAAGGGTACTTGGGCAAGAAGGAGGAGGTGAGGGGTCTGTATAGGGAGGAGTGGAGGGATCAGGGACACTGCCTTCAGGATCCTAACTCGTCTAGGCCAGGGGAATGACCACACACCCCCCACCCCACCCCCACACATACACATCTCTCCAGTGATCCCCTGGGCCCCAGAGAACCTGACCCTTCGCAACCTGAGTGAATCCCAGCTAGAACTGAGCTGGAGCAACAGACACTTGGACCACTGTCTGGAGCACCTGGTGCAGTACCGGAGTGACTGGGACCGCAGCTGGACTGTGAGTGATGGGGGCAGGACTGCAGCAGCTCAGGTCGAGCAGATGGGGATAAAGGAGTCAAACAGCCAAATAGGAGGGCGCAATCTTGAGCTCCTGTTCTCTGCCATCACCACCTGCGCCCCACCTCCCCGCCCCACCACCTGGTTCCTTTGCTCTGTCTCTCCTTTCATCCAGCTCCTTTCCCTATCATCACCAGTGACTTTCCATGGACGTTTCCTTACCTATACCTGATAGGCAAGTAAACAAAAGGGAGCCTTCAAGGGCATCTGGCGAGGAGGCCTTGAATTCTAGTCTGTGAAGGGAGCAGTGCGGCTAGAGTCAAGAGAGGAGAAAAGAGCCAGGAAGAACAGGATGATGGGGGGGGGCAGAAGTTTTCATTCTCCCTTCTCTTTTAGACACCCATCTCTCCCTCACCCTCTTTCTCCCCAAGGAACAATCGGTGGACCACCGAAATAGCTTCTCTCTGCCTAGCGTGGATGGGCAGAAATTCTACACGTTCCGTGTCCGGAGCCGCTATAATCCGCTCTGCGGAAGCGCTCAGCGTTGGAGTGAATGGAGCCGCCCAGTCCACTGGGGCAGCAACACTTCCAAGGGTAAAATGGGCCTAAGGCCTCACTGTGACCCATGAGCCCAGCACCCCAACCCTTTCTAGCATCGCTCTCTTTTGCTGTACCTCTTGACCCCTAAGCCCCCAGATTTGGTGGCCTGTCTCCCCTCACTGTTCAACCTTAACCCCCAGGTCGCAGGTTTTTTTTCTGTGTAGGGTTGGGTCACTATGTTGTTAGAGTTGGGGGGGTTGTTGTCAAGAAGGAGGCAGAGAAGATATAGAATGTTTAAGATTCCCCTACAGCATTCCTGGAAAGCCTGCGTGGTAAAGATGGCTTTGGAGCCAGACCAATATAAGGTTTTAAACCTGGCTCTGCTTGTTACTCCCTCTTTGACCTCGGGCACATCACTAACCTCTTTGATTCTGTTTTCTCATCTGTAAAATGGAGATAATGATTGTTACCCCCACCCCCAACCCCAGTCTCAAGAGCTGTGAGGATTAAGGATATGGAAAGTGTCTAGCACTGTGCCTGGCACCAAAGTTGGGACACTACAGACATAAGGGCTCTTTCTCTTTCTCCTCCTCCTCCATCATCATCATCTTCTTCTTCTTCTTCTTCTTCTTCTTCTTCTTCTTCTTCTTCTTCTTCTTCTT